GTCAGCTACAACTACTGCTACTTTTGAACAAAGGTAGTTCGCTACTGATTACAGCTACTGCTTAAAAAATGTAGCGAACTATTTCGCTATTTCGCTACACTATATTTTTTAGTTTTACTGTATTTGTAGCATCTACTATAACTCAGGCTGTAATGTAATCTATAACAAATCGACTTACGAGTAGCAACAGTAAACACAAAGCAACATTTTTGTAAGCACTACAGTCATGTTCAGGAGTGCAAATTGACTATTGAGTATTGATTTTAAGCAAACCGTGTCTCAATATCACGCTATTCTATCAAGTTGCTAACAATTTTAAAAAGTAGCGAATAGCGATTCGCTGTTTGAAAAGTAGTCAACTACTTGGCTACTTTAAGGCAAAATGTAGTTCGCTATAACTACAACTACTGTTTTAAAAAAGTAGTCAAAAACTACTGGCTACTTGAAAATTGTAGTTCGCTACAGTAGCGAACTACAACTACTTCGCTACAACCCACCCTTGCTCTTTTCACGTGTGTCCGTAGCGTGAATCTAACCCACATTCTCAGAGGTGAAAAGCACTTTCTCTGACGGCTGCACCCCCAAGCCCCTATATATATAGCCGCAAATATGCATGAAGGTACTTGCAGTTTCCCCTCAGCCGGCGCAAGTGAGAAGAGTGCTTGTATAACATACGTAATAACACACAAGTTGTTACAGGTCTGCAAACAAGTTGTTACAAATCTGTTCACAAGTTGTCGACAAATTGTGTTCGCATTGCTTGTTCCTAGTTGTTGGAACAAGTTTGGAACAAGCTGTTAACAACTTGTAACAAGCTTGATGGCATTATCATACTTGTTACAAGGTTGTTCTAACAAGTCTGATGCAATCATGAAAGCTAAGAATGTTACAAGGTTGTTCTAACAAGTCTGATGCAATCATGAAAGCTAAGAATGTTACAAGGTTCATCTCACAAGGTTGTAACAATATTGTTATATCATGACTGTATCGGACTTGTTGGAACAACCTTGCAACAAGTCTGATAATATCAACAAGCTTGTTACAAGTTGTTAACAGCTTGTTCTAAACTTGTTGACAACTTGGGACAAGCAGTGCGAACACAACTTGTTGACAGCTTGTTGGCAGACTTGCTACAAGATGTGAAATTTTTACGCGTGTAGTTTGACTCCACCACACAACACAAGTCCTGTTTTTTAACGACTTTAATTTCTCTAAAAGCCCAATGCTCTTTGGACTTCTGTAGCACCAACTTCCCCTCGATGATAAGCTATTACTGTAAAACATTTCCAATTATGTCCATGGGTTTTTTCCGGATCACTTTGAGACGCCGCGAGGCACTTGGTGTATGCGCATTCCGTATATAGAACACCATGCATGCATGCACAAGCCGGCAAAGTAGTTCTTGAAACAGAATAAAGGAGGTTTTTAGAGAAACTACTACCATTAAACTGAAACGCTATGTTACAGGAAGCAAAACAGAGCTATTTCCTAAAAAGTTTGTCGTAGAAATCGTAATTACAGTAATTTGAAGATTTTTGAGGTTGCCGACGTTTGCTTCATGGATAACATTTGCAAAACCTTTTGAACTAATCATCAAACAATTTTGCACTCAACTAAACTAAACTAACTTTATTTATACTCGATAGCTCTATCAGTTCTAAACTGTTCTCCATAGAGGTCCAGTAAGGGTCATCTCTTATTCATCCAGTGTTACTACAGGAGGAAACCTAAACTAAACTAACTTTATTTATACTGGGTAGCTCTATCAGTTCTAAACTGTTCTCCCTAGAGATCCAGTAAGGATAATTTTTTATTGATCCAGTGTTTACTACAGGAGGAAACCTAAACTAAACTAACTTTATTTATACTGGATAGCTCTATCAGTTCTAAACTGTTCTCCCTAGAGGTCCAGTAAGGGTCATCTCTTATTCATCCAATGTTACTACAGGAGGAAACCTAAACTAAACTAACTTTATTTATACTGGATAGCTCTATCAGTTCTAAACTGTTCTTCCTAGAGGTCCTGTAAAGATCATCTCTTATTTATCCAGTATTACTACAGGAGAAAACCTAAACTAAACTAACTTTATTTATACTGGATAGCTTTATCAGTTCTAAACTGTTCTTCCTAGAGGTCCTGTAAAGATTATCTCTTATTTATCCAGTATTACTACAGGAGAAAACCTAAACTTAACTAACTTTATTTATACTGGATAGCTCTATCCAGTGTTACTACAGGAGAAAACTTGCGGTGTTTGGTACATTTACATGCACTGGTTTTATTCTCCTCACATGCGAACGGACGTTCGACAGAGTACAGCGTATTTCAGAAATCGAACTGATGGTGGAGGACACGTACACTCTGTGTCACCATGCAACACCCCCTCCCACCCCTTCATAAGTCCTAATTGTGTCTTAGTTCCAGGTAATCATTATGGTTTTCTTTCCTAGGTTCAGATCCAGTTCGAAAGTGGGCAAGTCTTGGAGATTTGATTAATGCGCCCGAACGTTCCACATCTCCTGTATCAGTAAGTATATTTTAGTCTTGTTCTGGCTAGAAATTTTGACACTTATAAGGAGCTGATGAAAATTAAACTACAATTCTCTATTTTATTTGTTTGACTCCAACAAGAGTACTTCATATAGTGAATAGAATTGATATTATTTTCGTACTTTAATAACTGCCAATTGTTGATGGTTTAAGGATAATTGTGATGATAACGGGCTAAGTTGGTTAACTAGGATTAAAAATGGATAGTTGTGACATTGATGGGATAAATGCGGTAATTTTGGGGTAGTTAGGGCAATGATAGGATCGGTGTTGTTATTAAGGGATAGTTGTGGTTAATGAGTTGATAGGGGATATGAGATGTGTTAAGCTGGTAAGTTATATTGGTAACAATTCTATGAGTTTTGTGATAATTCGTTTAATGCCGTATTTATACACGTGTAGACACTAGATAATCCGTCAAAACTATCCATCTTTTTACCTTGTTGTAAAAACGGCACAAAGAGAAATTATCGGACAAACTATCTTTGGCCAAGTTCGTCCGGACAATTCATCCATCTTTAGTTTAGATCTGGTGAAATCACAACTTTCACTCGCGTTTCATCGCCAGCTTTCGTCGACTATCACGCGCTCTCGTCAACTCTCATCGACTTTGAACCATTGAACTATAAGTAAACTGGAATGCTAATTCAGGGGGGGGGGGATTGAAGCCAGTGGCTATTATAGTTTTTCTGAGTTATGAGCAGAAATTCTCAACACTGAACGTTGTGCTGTATATGAAACTGAAGCTATTGAAAAACGCTATTTGGTGTAGAAATTTCAAGACTTTAGCTAAAGGGGAAATATTTAAAAACTACAAAAATAATTGCCGATAATTTGCCATTTTTTGGCCGAGTGACTGTTGTTTTTGTATTTTTAAAATATTTTTCTTTTCGCTGAAGTCTTGAAATTTCCACACCGAATAGAATTTTCAATAGCTTCAGTTTGATATATAGCCCAACGTTTGGGGATCAAGTATTTCTGGTCATAACTCAGAAAAACTATTTTGGCTTCAGCAAATCATAGCCATATAGGCCTTCATCATAGCAGTTAGCCCTCCAGTTTACTTATAGTTCAATTCTTTGAACTGATTCAAATTTTGATGAGAGTTGACGAGAGTTTTCGCAAAGCGTGAGGTAATATCCACGAGTCAACTCTCATCAACTCTCATGCAAACTCTCGCTTCCCAACTCTCATGTGAACTCTCATCCTATCGTTTGATCGTCATTTTAGACTGTCAAATACTGAATGTGTGGTGTAATATTGTGCCATACATAACAGTATGGAATATTTATAATTGTTCAGGATATACTTGCTATTGTTCCATTGACTAAACGCAATAAAAACAGGAAATATTACAGGAGTAAAATGGAAAGTCACGCACGTAGCCAGCTTTGAAAATGAAATAATTTGCTGTCGGTGTATATGGATTCGTGTGGAATTTTTTAGACTTTGTCATGATCTTCGTTGGCTGACATTGTATTATAAGGGTTGTATGAAATTCGTTTCTTCCATACACTAAAATGACAAGCGGACAAAACACTTTGGATTCCCTGTTAGATACGGTAAATGTACTTTTGTGATTCGTGAATTGAGTTTTGTTTGGACTATTATAATCTATATACATTGCTTTTCGACATACCTGATTCCTGTGATGTAAATGGTGGTATTTTTAGTTATGGTATATTATACAACAAGACATATAGAAAGATTGGACTTTAATAATCTTTATTAATAATATGTGATAGCTGTAAGGTTATTTATACTGGATAGCTCATCAGTTCTGAACTGTTCTCCATCGACACAAATCTCATATTCAGTGTTACAAGGGGAGAAAAAACTGACGTTGAAGAAATCAAGCGGTATATTTGCTAAAATTAAATTAATTTTCCACGGCAGCTTATTGTAGAATACCTCCTACACTGGACCCTCCATGTTTGAGATTTTATCTGTGTCACTTTGTTGAAACGTGTTCATATTTTTTTCACTTTCATTACAGATTTTCCGCCGAAGATTATCATCCGGTCTTGGAAACCTTTTAGCGTTAGGACGTCTTGAGAAAGTTATTGAAGAAAGAAATAAAAAAGCTCCAAAGAGGTGGAAACTCAATCATAGGTATACACCAAAATTGTAGATCATTTTCTGACTTTATTTATACTGGATGTCAGTTCTAAACTGTTCTCCTAAGAGATGCAGTATAAAGAGCCGTACATTATTGATCTAATCAAAGTTAAAAATGACTTTATTTATACTGGATAGCTCTATCAGTTATAGCTCTATACACTGTTCTCCAGGTTCAGCAGAGATCATCTCTTATTGATCCAGCATTAGTATACATTAGAAAACGTTAACTAAACTAACTTTTGTGTATATGGATAGCTTCATCAGTTATAAACTGTTTTCTGTAGAAGTCCAGTAAGAGCCACCTATTATTAGTCTAATGTTACCACAGGAAATACCAATACTAAACTAGCTTTATTTATGCTGGATACTTGATAGCTCTATCAGTTCTAAACTGTTGATCCAGTGTTACTATACAGGAGAAAACCTAAACTGAACTGATATATTTATACTTAATAGATTTATAGCAGTTCTATAAGTTGGTCGTCTTAGAGATCCATGTAAGAGGGTAATCTCTTTTCGCACTGCATGTTTCCAGATTGTTGACAAGTTGTTAACGGCTTGTTGACAACTTGCTACGAGGCTGTTGACTCAACAAACTTGGTACAAGTCAGGGCTGCAAATAAATATTTGACTTGACAGGACATTTGTCCGATCACTTTTAATTTTGGTCGGACATAACTTGAATTTGGTCGGACAAAAACCAACACCACTAAATTAAATTTGGTCGGACATATATACGTCACAAGATATATATAGGCTAAGTCACAAGACAAGTATGTATAGCCATTCCGGCGCAACGTTAAAGTAAAATGCTAGAATGCCTCGTCAATTTTATTGCAAAATAAATTGAGTGAATTTGCAATCGAATTTTGTCACAGCAAAAAAATGTATAATTTGACCAAATTTTTTTGTGATCTGACCAATGTCCGATCAAAATTACTTTTGCTCGGACATTTGCCAAATTTAGTCGGACATTGTCCGATGTCCGACAGTAATTTGCAGCCCTGCAAGTTGTTCCAACTCAACAACTTGATAACAAGTTGTGAGTGACAACCTTGTAGCAACTTGATAAAATGACAACATTGTTACAACTTGTTGGCAAGCTTGCTACGAGCCTGTTGCTAACACATCTTGTTGACAAGTTGGGAACTGAAAGGATTTTTATGTGGGTGTGTGGGGGGTTAATATATCATGTACGTCAAGTTGTTCAAATATTGATAAAATGTGTGTCGCTCTGTTGTCTTTGACAAGCACAATCGGTAGATAAGTGAAGGGTTTTACCAGACACATCCTTCCTCTTTTGTCTGACCTGTTTTCATTGCCCATGTGTCATCCACTTTCCCTTTGCCTGACGTGTTTTCATTTCCCATCTCTTAACTCTTCTTCGTTGTTTGACGAAAATATCAGTTATATGTACGAGGACTTTTAAAAAGGAACTACTACTTAAAATAACGTAAAACCATATAGGATACAAATTATGATTGTATTTACATTTCACTTAATACCAAGATTTAATTTCCCCATGAAATATATTATTCATAGTTGGCAATGGATTTGAATTTGTAATATGCGAAGATATAGTTTATTCCAGATTTGAGAAATAGCGTATTTCAAAAATTCAATGAATTTGCCCACTGCTGTTGCCACAAAACATCGTTTATTTATTTTGGGAAATAATTTTTCACACCATTTTAAGACTTTATAATACGAGAAAAAAAATTGTGGCAACTTGCTAATGCAATATAGCTGGTTTCAATCCATGTTAATGAAAATGTTCCCGCAATATATCAGGCATATCATGGTCATGGGTAAACAATTCAACTTAACATCTCTTGAAAGCAGATTGCATGTCGCAGTAACTTTGTTGCACTCATTATAAATTCACCTTAATCTTTTTGGAAATTATTTTTCTGCCCGAATTGTTTTTAAGTCTGTCTGTCTCTTTTGATTACTAATAAATCCACAAACACACATCTATTAATCCTCGATTTGCATAAACAATTTCGTAGTTTTTCCGTCGACTAGCGTGAAGGCATTGTGTCTAAAATTAATCCTTTTTGTATTAAACAGCATGCGATGCTGTCTTTCTGTTGTTTGAAAACTATTACAATATTGTGCTTGTTAAATACGAACTGTAGCACACATTGTATTCACTTTTGAAAACGACTTGATGGTGAAGTCACGCTCGTAAACACGATATAAACACCAAAACGTATAGTTCGAAGGTGCTTTACGATAATTTGTTGCTTGTTTAACGTTGTCGCGCCGAGCTGTTATGTACTATGTCTGTTTTATACGAAGGGTAAGTCAACTGGTCTCGTAAACGTCCATACGTATTGACATATGTTGCATGTCCTAACATGTTTTAAGTGTTCTTTGTTTGCACGTTTCTCTGTACTTAAGTGATGATTCCTTGCCTATTTTTTTAAAATTGCATGACGTGGCTAAAACATGCCACATTATCGTTACGCATAGCCGTAGCTTTGTACAATAGCTAAACAACAGCGTACGGTTCGTGGTTAGTAATTATAATTTTAGTTTTAAATAATTCCTGAGAAATCCAATGCCCATGCAATGGCTGTAGATATGTATTGAGTTTGTTTTGGTTGTTCAAATGCTAGGTAATACTATAGGCTTGAAGTGCTCAATACCATATAGACAGTAAGAGCTAATAGTATACATTCTTGCTTACCACAGCCTGTTTCATCGAATGAAGAAATGGCCCGTACGCACCTAAACGTTACCATCACAGCTTGTTTCACTATCCAATGAAGGAATTTCCAGATTGGAATGAAGGAATCTTCATAGCTACCTGAAGTTCCATTGGATGAAACAGGCTGTGGTGGTATAGCTTGAGGAGAGCGATATTTATCTGCATAATTTCATTATATATAATTATGTTCTGGTTCACGGAATGTCTGAGAGCGCTGAGTGGCATAAAGATAGAGAAAGGTTAGATTAGCTTGCCTCGAAATCTTCTATATCATCCGTTTCACCCAAATGGAATGACTTGACGATTCCATTTGGTGGTAAAACCGACGTTAATGAAGATTTCGAATTGAAGCAAACCTACACTATATTCATCATATTGTCTCTACGGCTCCTTATACTTTTGTATTTAAAGCCAAGGTCTGCAAGCCAACTTTTGCTGTATACTGTATATAGTCACAGCGCAATTTTTCACACTGCTAACTCACATTCTGTACATAACTGTACATGAGTGCCAAGTGGGATGCTGGCAGTATAGTTTATGTTCCTTTCATTTCTGCAACATTTCTGCAACATTCCTGCAATAGACAGTTGTCTGATTATAATTTTACCTCGGTTGTATGTCAGAAGAGTGCTTTCACTAACTTTACCAAACACTCAGTTTTCGTCCGTTTCCTCCTGTAGTAACACTGGACCAACGAGAGATGAACCTCTCTGGACCTCTAGGTCTAGGAGGAACAGTTTTGAACTGGTAGAGCTATCCAGTATAAATAAGATTATTTTAGGCTTCCTCCTGTAGTGACTCTGAGTTCTTCCAGTTTGACTCAACCAAACAACACAGGGTTTTTTTCAGGTGGTCCAGATTCCTCCTGTAGTAACTCTGGACTAATAAAAGATGGGGTTCTACTGGACTTCTAGAGAGAACAGTTCAGAACTGATAGAGCTATCCATGCAGTATAACCTGTATTGGTAGCGTATGAAATGCCTGAAATTTTTTTAAAAACTTCGACATTTCTAGGCCCTTCGCTAGCCCCCTGACAAACATTCTTCAAAAATGTTATTGATCATTATCAGGTAGTTCGGACACAAAACACGACAGCATAGTAAAGAGCACTGGACCGCCATGTTTCAGATATGCTTTCAAAAAAGTACGCATCCATTATAGCTTCAATTATTTTGACACACAGACCATTAGCATAGCAATTTTAGTTAAGAATGACAACTTTAATAGCATTAAAATCATTACCCTAATTACATATATAGTACTTGGATTTTAATTTAAAAGTTTTTTTTCGGTACAAAATTCCGTCTTAAATTTTTTGTTTTCGTTCCTATAACAATGTTGCCATGCTAAAATATTGTGCGGCCTCTTATATACTGCATGCCGAAATATTTTGGCAAAAATTTACATACCTTAATATATTCAAATGAGTTAACCGGTCTATTGTGTGGAATGATTGAGCAATGCCTTCGTCTCATTACACATTCGCTAGTTAGAATATTAAATTAGTAAAATATGTTTTGATTTTAGAGCTGAGAAACCAAAAGCTGGGCTGTTCAACGCACAGAATAGTGGATTCTCGTCACTGCAACAGGAGTCAGCGGCTATAACGGTTAGTGTATTGTATGTTACGAGAGTGTTAATCTATTGTCTGTTTCTGTTACCAGTTTTATGATAAAGACTTTGCAACTGTGGTATTTGGTTTTGAATCCATTGTGTGTGTCTGTGTAAATACAAAGGCATTCAACGTATTAGTTGAAATCGTTCTCATTGGGAACCATATAATATTGATTACTGTGTCACTTATCCAGAAGACTGTTTGTAGCCATTTAATCATCATAGGATCGCTACCATTTATCAAAGTGGTAATAAAGTATTGATATATATCTCTGTAATCGGTAACGATTGATTTACATATATACAACATACTTTTAAGACCCACACTATTTCATATCGTCGTTAAAACTAGGCTGATATAATATTGTATATTAAACTAGGTTAATATAATATTGTATACTGCCCTTGAGTAAACCAGGATGTGAGCTGAACGGATGTATTTTATCAGCAACGTTGATACGTCATTGGTGGTTGGTTATTGGTCTCGAATTTTTTCTCTATGTGCATAAAAACCTTAGTGCTTCACCGTAATTCAGTGCAGCTCGGATTCACTGATGCATGGTATAGGCACAAGGTATAGGTATCTGGAAGTTACCAGAGTGAGAAAATAATGTTAATTTTTTTCATTGTATGAAGTAGTTTTGGTGGTCAGTGAATTGCGGGATGTAGTCCGGTTTGCTTGTCCCCTATCAATGTGAACGATTCCGAAGTTGACTACCATCTGCCACTCTGTGTCATATACTGAAACATACGAATAGTTGGGTCAGCTGCGAAATTTCTCCTCTTGACCGATACGATTGAGTAAATTACGGACTGCTTGTTCCCTGCTTGTTGACAAGTTGTCAGTGGTTTGTTGAGAACTTGCTACAAAGTTGTTGAGCTCAACGGACTTGTTACAAATTGTTATCGTCCTACAATTGAACAATTTGTCAACAAGCTGCGAGTGACAACCTTGTAGCAACTTGACGAAATAACAGCATTGTTACAACTTGTTGACAAGCTTGCTACAAGCCTGTTGCGAACACATCTTGTTGACAAGTTGTGATTTTTACATGTGTAGAATGTTATAAAATTCATGCCTTCTGCCAAATTCCTTAATTGACCAGTTATCAATTGTCTTTCATCTCTGAGATTCTGGGTTTGATTAGACTCAAGAGAGTCCGTCAACGCTCTACCGAAAGTCGTGGGTTCTCTCCGGCACTCCAGTTTCCTCCATTAGGGAAAGTCGACAGGTTGCTTTAGGAAACCTTGATGGCGGCATAAGCCCGCAGTTAAATACACATTAGGATTAAATAAATGATATTAATTTTAAACCTTAACTAAACTAACTTTATTTATACTGGATAGCTCTATCAGTTCTAAACTGTTCTTCATAGAGGTCCAGTAAGGGCCATCTATATGCCTCCATCCTGATGTACTTAACTGCAAGTTCTGTCGAGTGTTAAGAAGTGAATGACATGCGTAAAACGTAATTTGTCACACCTAGATACACCCAGATTTGCGTGAAGAACGTTTTAAGTATATTTGCTTTCCCCCTTAATAGGTTAAAAGTTACCGACACTTGAGTTAAGACTAATAATCTTGGTCTTAATACATTAAATCTTCGTAGCACAGTCATATGGAGGTCTTTGATTATAATTTTCCCTCATTTATGGTGTTTGGAGCAAGCGCTTCAGTCATTGAACCTATGAGAAAAGTGGAGCCAAGATGGCGGCCATTGACCTCCGATAGCTATGAAGGTCGTAAACAGTTTTAATATACCATTTTCCCAAGCCCATTCCAGTTTTTTCTAACGGACCATATCACTAATCAAGTTATCAGTTCATAAAACCACAATATTATTATATGGCTTTTCAAAATTCTCTATTCTGATTGGTTGACAAGCGGTCCGTAAAAACCCATATCCGGACCGTGGTCCGTATTTTCCGTATCTGGACCGGTGTCCCGGATGTCGTTTATCTGGCGGGAAATTTTTGCTTTGCAAACAGAAAAAAATTTTGCTTTTTAATTTTCCAATTGTGTGTCATTAAAATTTACAGATAAAAATTTCAAACAACAAATTGTTTTTGATTGAGCATGCATGCCTACCGTATATTGTTATCCAGTGAAACTGACGATAGCCGATTTAATTCTCGTGAAAAGCATGTGCTCACAGACTCATGCAGTTCAGCCATATAATAAACCGATTATTGACCTCGCTTGTCCGGTCTGTACTGTGAAATATCAGACCTCTGTTTTTTTGCATGGACCTCGCTCCTTCGTCGCTCGGTCCATACTAAAAAACCTCAGTCTGATATTTCACAGTACAGACCTCACGCTCGGTCAAGAAGCCGTTAGTATTATTCTTTAAAAGTCAAAATGAAAAATTTCGGCACACTTCTTCTGAAAGGGACTGAAACTGACGTCCAATAACTCCATTTTTGACTTCACTTTTTGGACTCGAGTTCTCACTCCAGATATATCATGGAGCTCAGTGGTTCACTCTACCAAAGACCTCGGGTTCTCTTTGGGTTTTGTGGTTTCCTCCTCTAGAAATACTGGACCAACAAGAGTGGCTCTTCCTGGACTTCTAGGGAGAACAGTCTAAAGCTACAGTCATATTGTTTCCAGAATCTATTTCGGGTACCACAGGTTTGGGAGGTCTTCATGTAAACTGGCTATACCCCTTCGTTAGCTAAAAGGATCCCGAAATCTGTTTCTGGACTTCTGGGGAGAACAGTCTAAAGCTATATAGTCATATTGTTTCCAGAATCTGTTTCGGGTACCACAGTTTTGGGAGGTCTCTATGTTAAACTGGCTACCCCTTCGTAAAAGGATCTCGAAATCTCTTCCTGGACTTCTAGGGAGAACAGTCTAGAGCTGATAGTACCCAGTTTAAAGCTGTAGTTATATTGTTTCCAGAATCTGTTTCGGGTACCACAGTTTTGGGAGGTCTCTATGTTAAACTGGCTACCCCTTCGTTAGCTAGAAGGATCTCGAAATCTCTTCCTGGACTTCTAGGGAGAGCAGTCTAGAGCTGATAGAGCTATTCAGTTTAAAGCTATGGTTATATTGTTTCCAGAATCTGTTTCGGGTGCAACAGTTTTGGGAGGTCTCTATGTTAAACTGGCTATCCCTTCGTAAAAGGATCTCGAAATCTCTTCCTGGACTTCTAGGGAGAACAGTCTAGAGCTGATAGAGCTATCCAGTTTAAAGCTATGGTTATATTGTTTTCAGAATCTATTTCGGGTACCACAGGTTTGGGAGGTCTTCTTGTAAACTGGCTACCCCTTCGTTAGTTAAAAGGATCCTGAAATCTCTTCCTGGACTTCTAGGGAGAACAGTCTAGAGCTGATAGAGCTATCCAGTTTAAAGCTATGGTTATATTGTTTCCAGAATCTATTTCGGGTACCACAGGTTTGGGAGGTCTCCGTGCATGTTAACTGGCTACCCCTTCGTTAGTTAAAAGGATCCCGAAATTTATTACAGAGGTGTCAACTGATTAAGCGGTACTGCGGTTCTATAGCTCATGCCGAAACTACGATCGCGTGGGGCTGGTTATCATTTGTAGATTTTTTTATATGATAATGCAATGTCAGTGACTTTAAAAAAGTGCATTTCAAATTTGAATATCTTGAGAGGTTGATTAACGCAGTATGACTAAGTTGGTGTAATAGAGCTTGAAATAACAGCCGATTACCCGATTGGCAAGACATTGTGTATGATCGGCCGAAAAGCGGGGTTTTCATACAGAAATAGCAGGGAAAGTCACGACTGCCGATCACTTTGATTTATAACTTTGAGAACGTTATTTCAAGCCCTGGGTTAAGGACACAGTAGAAAATGGCGGTGAGTGATGAGTTGTCTTTATTTACAAAGCATTTTTACAAAGTATGTTATCATTTCATCACATTTTGTTGCTGGCACATGGTTCGGTGGCAGGGACTGGACATCTGGTAAAGTCCGAATTGAGATCACTTTTTAAGCGGTGACTGGGTCATATTATACGGTACAGCGCTTTAACCAGCTGAGCTACCGAGTCCACAAATTCATGTACAATATATGTAATGGATGACCAAATTCTCCCGAAATCTAGAAAGTTTGGACTGATAGAGCTATCCACTGTCAATAAAACTATCCTATACAAATAGTATATCTTCAATGATTGAAAAATATATGAAGCTAGCTTAGATTGTATTGGCCTTGGGTGTGTATTTTATTTGAAAATCCTGAGAATGTACGTCAAACTTTTAAGCGCTTCCTTGTTTAAACTTCGCCCAAAGATGAACGGAATTCCATAACAAATTTGAAATTCTAATTCCATTCTATTCCAACGATTTCATTTCCCGTTTCCAACAGTGAATGTGACTTTGATATTTATATTGGATAATAACTTCCAGTATATACTCGAAGAAAATCACTCATGTGTTACTAGTACAATATCAAAAGGACAATCGCATAGAGAGAGTATTATTAAGTGAATTTGGTTAGAGTTTTCAAGCCTTAGTCATAGATTTCATAGTGATCATGAACAGTAAGTTTGACTATAATTATCTATATATATATATATACAGTGCTTTGTAATATCTACCTATATAGGTAAAATTATTCACTGATGTTACGTAGCAATTTGATTAATTTTGTACTTTGTTATTTAAAAAGGGTTTGTTATTGCTTATCAAAGTCTTTTATAAGTTAGCTGTTGATAATTTGAAACATGTGATCAAACCTATAGTTCTAATATAAGGTATTGGTTTCAGTATATTACAACCATTAAGACTCTATAATGTAATTAACAGTTATACAAGCTATAATCCATCATTTTCAAGATACATTAGTCATCATTATGTAAAATTTATTAGATTGTTTGATAGACTATGGAATAAACATTAAACGTATGTACACAATGACAATTAGCTTATTAAGAACATATAGCTGTCTTGGGCAAAACGGGGTGTTGTCACTCTAAAAAATTAACTAAATTAGATAGAATTTTTTGAACGTGCATTTTCAATAAACCTGGTTGAGGTCTTACAAATTGAGCTAGCGTGTCAAGTGCTTTGCAGAGCATCATAAAATCTGTAATTTTGGATACACTTTTTAGATAATACCTTGTCCTTAACGAAACCCTATTAGGAATTTTTACTTTTACTAATAGGTATATATGTTCCAAGTACTTATTGATAATTCAGGCTATTATATTCATTGCATGGGGATATCAATGTTATGCATAAAGATAGCCTTTCAATATTCACCACAGCTAATTAATGTGTGAAAGCGATTTCATGTTGATCGCGTGGGAGTCTATGGATGAGGTGTCACAATGTGGCGGCCTGGGTTCGTTTTCTTGTGGGAGTCCAGTTGAACTGGATTTGGATTATTGCTGTTGTTAATTGGTTTGTTCCTTGTTTTATTGGTGATGATGGTGGTTTTGGTGGTGATGTGGTAGTGACAATGGTGTTGATAATGGTGTTGTTGTTGTTGTTGTTGTTGTTGTTGTTGTTGTTGTTGTTGTTGTTGTTGTTGTTGGTAGTGACAATGGTTTGTCGTCGTCGTCGTCGTCGTCGTCGTCGTCGTCGTCGTCGTCGTCGCTGCTGTTGCTGCTGCTGTTATTGTTGTCGCTGCCGTTGTTGTTGTTTAGCTGTTTTCTTTAGTTGCCATTGTTGTCTTGTTCTTTAGAAGGTTCTAAGTCTGTTCTCTGGTCATGCATGATAGCAATGGAACAACAATGGATAAACGAATGACCAGCATTTAGTGTTGTTTTATGACTGCGTGGACAGCACTATACTTTCACTTTTCAAGCAAAACAAAAAACTTGATCGAAAAAATTATAAATTTTTGTTCTACATTCTTTAGGACTCGGTAGATTTGGCAGTTGATGGAAAGGTCGAAGTTCGCGCAGTACATCCAAGTGTCATTGGTCATCAATATTGTTTCGTGATCTCAAATTCTCTCGAAACGAAATACTTCTCGTGCAGATCAGGCGAGGAAATGAGCAAATGGATTGTAAGGTACAAAGGATGAGTTTTATTCTGAAATCTCTCTCAACACAAAGTAGTCGCAGACAGTTTATTGAACGTATACTTTTCACATTTTTAGTGTGAAGAAAGCTCTGGATCCTTCGAGAGATCTAGAGTGTCGTACAGACATCAGCCTTTCATTATGGATCGTGGAAGCTAAAGGTTTAACCAACAAGAAAAGGTAATTAAGACTAAGTCATTAAATCTTGAACAAACTATTTTCATATGCTTACCTAATGCTTGCATTATTATTGATTTGTAGATATTTCTGCGAGCTTCTCCTTGACAATGTTGTTTATGCGAAGTCCTCTGGAAAACCACAGAAGAACGACTCGCTGTTCTGGGGAGAACAGTTCGTATTCGAGTAAGCTCAAGTTGCTTAACCTTGCAATATTGTAGTGATCATAAGTTTTCCTTTGAAAAGTTCAGCAATTATAAAAGGGGCGAACCATTAGTGCAAAGAAGAAAGGGAAATTCTAGCACAAGCAGACGGCCGCAAAAAATTATTAGTCAAGTAAAATTTCTCCCTATTTTTCTAATGGTTTTCTCCTAAGCTGCTGTGGTTAGTGTTTTGAACGAAATCTCACCGACTGTCTTTTAAAGGACTTTGCCTGGAACCCTTGAAGTGTTTTTAATAATCTTCTTCTGACAGAAAATTGCAGGAGACCACTTACGCTGGACCCCACGTTGATAATTGTTGAATATTTATCTTTGCAGAGATCTTCCGGAGCTTTCAATGGTGCAAATCAATGTGCACAAAGACTATGATAAGAAGAAAAAGAAAGATAAATCTTCATTGATTGGTAATGTGTCCAACCAAATTACTAAGCTATTGACTGCGGGAGTCTAAAAATAGTCTAAAAGCAAGCCTAAATTAGCTAAAAAGCTGTTTGGGCAGAATCTCCCTGAGTTGTACGCCATGATCTATTCGTCCCGAGGCTACTAGTTTTGGTTCCTCGTGCCTACCAGGTTTCCTCCTGTAGTAACACTGGATCAATAAGAGATAATCCTTGCTGGACCTCTAGAGAGAATAGTTTAGAACCGATAGAGCTATCCAGTATAAATAAAGTTAGTTTAGTTTAGGTTTCCTCCTGTAGTAACACTGGATCAATATGAGATGGTCCTTACTAGATCTCTAGACTCTAGGGAGAACAGTTTAGAACTGATAGATTTATCCAGTATAATAAAGTTAATTTAGTTTAGGTTTCCTCATGTGGTAACAGTGGATCAATATGAGATGATCCTTACTAGATCTCTAGGGAGAACAGTTTAGAACTGATAGATCTATCCAGTGTAATAAAGTTAATTTAGTTTAGGTTTCCTCCTGTGGTAACACTTAGAGAGAACAGTTTAGAACTGATAGATCCATCCAGTATAAATAAAGTTAGTTTAGTTTAGTGGACTAAAAAGACTTGAATGTACCTTAAATGTGAATTGTTTAACTTATTTGCTATTTTCTTCCTTTCCCCAACAGGCACAATCGACATTCCGACGAATTCTCTTGCGTTAGGTCAAGAAATGGAAACATGGTATACAATATCTCCGACCTCGACAGGGAACAACGAGGGTGCCTCGTTGCGAATACGAGCCAAATATCAGAGAAACTTAATTCTTCCTCTTGGAATCTACAACGAACTTTTAGAGGTAAAATTTAATTCAGATCATCCCAGATTTACTCGGTATCTTAATATCATTATCAAATTTTGGCAAATTAAGAATATAATATTACCCTATGTTGTGGTTCTTGATCCACAAATGTATCCAAAAGTACTAAATTGTATATTTTGTTTTCTCTCGCAGTTTCTGAAGAACAACTACAGTAGCTTGTGTCATTTTCTCGAGCCAGTTTTAAGTGCGAAGGCTAAAGATGAAATCGCCAAGATATTAGTTCGTATTTTACAATCTTGTGGAAAAGCGAAAGAGTTTCTAATTGACCTCGTGACGACAGAGATGGAAAAATCAGGTATAAGCAGATTAATGAGTTATTTACTTGTGTAGAAAATTTAAATGCTTAGTTACCTTTGCTCTATTTTATTTGCTTCCGTTGCCAACAGTAACTTTGCGCTTGAGTTGGTTGTGAGGCTACTGGCATCACTTCATTATACATACATGAATTTGTGGTTAATGTCCAGCAACTGAGCTTTGTAGCTCAGTTGGTTAGAGCGCTGCCCCGGAATCGCAGTTTCGATTCCTGCCAGAGTCTATAGTTACATTTTTTGCAACTGCCCCTGGTTAGCTCTGAAAGTGTGTAGAAATTTGTGGTCGAATATTCCGTCTACAGAAACTCATCTACTATTAATCTTCTCGAACGAGATGCCCCCAAAATCTCAATATTTACCCATATAATCTTTACTTAAAGGCACAGTTCAGCATTTCTAATGATGGGTTTTTGGCATTACGACCCTTTTAATTGAAAAAAAACCCAACTAGGAAAATCAATTAAGCATAATTCGTTATCAGTGATCTCAATGTTTTTAACATTTTTTAACATTTTTAATGTTGAAAACATTGACTTGAATTATGCTTAATTGATTTTCCTCGTTAGTTTTTTCAATTAAAAGGGTTGTAATGCGTCTTCTCAAACTCAATAGTTCATAAAGGAAATTCAAAAGAAATGCATATTTTATAATTCTGTATTTAGAAATAAGTGGAAGATTACAGCCGTTTTTCGTTAACTTTAAACTCGATTTTCTTTTAAACTATATTTGAAACTATATCCAACACTCGCAAATGTTCTTCCTCTGATTTCTAAGTACAAACAAGCTGGTTAAAAAAACTCGGCTTCGCCTCGTATTTCAACATGCTTGTCTGTATTTAGAAATCAGGGGAAGAACACTTACTCGTGTTGAATATAGTACTTAAAAACCATCATTCAAAGGCTGAACTGTGCCTTTAATTGTTTCTTTTATGCTTGATCAAGGTGACGAAAATCTTCTTTTCCGTGGAAATTCCTTTGCTACGAAAGCCATGGATTATTACATGAAAATGGTTGGCGAAGAGGTTTGGATTTTGTTTAAATTTTTTTCTCAATAATGTGGAATATATTATGCAAGTACAGTATACAGAAGCTGTACCAGAATTCAACGAGATTCCTTATTCGTTTATTCCGTGTTTTGCTTATAGTATCTGGAACAAACGCTGGGTGAACTTGTGAAGTCTGTTTACGAGTTTGATGAGAGTTGTGAGGTAAGCAATATAAACTAACTTTATTTATGCTGGATTGGTCTATCAATTGCATGCATCCGGATAAAACCAGCCGTGTTTGGTGGAGTCAAACTGGAAGGGCTCTTCTCACATGCTAAGACACTTTGTTCCAATTATTCTCTAATTCTCTACTTATGTAGGTTGATCCATCCAAAGTGTCGAGCAGTCAACTTGAACCTAATCAAGAAAACATCAAGGCATTTATCCAGAAAGCTTGGAGTCGCATTGTTTGTTCTGAGGAGGACTTCCCAAGGTAATCCATAATTTTCAATATTTTCTGTGTTGGTGTAATGTACTCAGGTGAATAAGATGCTTGTGATGTTACTCTGAGTGTATACCTACACCGGGCAGGCTTGAAAATATGCCTGGCCACGGTGGGAATCGAACCTACGACCTTTGGAATACCAGCCCAATGCTCTGCCAACTGAGCTACGCGGTCAGATCGGTTCGAATATGTGATATTTCGGAACTGAGTCTAGTTGAAGGAACTTTGGTATTTTGTAATAAGCTGATGTGGTTTGTGTCTGAACTACGTAAAAATATATCTCGGACGTGGTGGGCCCAGTGTAGGTAGTATTCTACAATAAACAGTTTTGATTTGTGTATAAACTCTCTGGAAAAAGATTAAAAAACGGTCTTTGTCAAGAATTTAATAGTAAATTTAAACAAGCACTGAGTCGTATATTTTTTTCGTTTTTCACAGGGAGTTGGTGGATGTATTCAGCGAAGTTCGTGACGCCTTTCCGTATGCATTAAGCAAGGCTTCATGTCTCAAGCTCATCTCGTAAGTATAACGTTGATTTCGCATTGGATGTGAATAGACTGAATTAGCTATAACACTTTTGTATGCTTGTTCCTTTAGGGGCACTGTATTTCTACGATTCCTGGTGCCTGCTATTCTTTCGCCAAGCTTATTTGGCCTAGCACAAGGTATGTTTTGGTTTATTTCCTCTGATGGAAGCAAGAAAATCCAGCTCCGGTCAGATGAGAATGGGTGATTCCAAACTATAGACTAAATTTTGATCAAGGCAAGAAGAACGAAATCCAACACCACAGCTAGAAAGAGCGTCTTAGAATGAGTAAAACTGCAAAGATTGGTTGCGAAATGTTGTACAATGAAGAAAATATAGTCCTGTCAAGTTCGCAAATTTTGTATATATTTGCGTTACGCACGGTAAAAATATCCATTTTCGTCGGCTCAAAAATGGTCATTTTTCCCGCGCGTAATGCAAATATATACAAAATTTCACAGGGCTATATTTTCCTCATTTTACAACAACTCGCAACCGAACTTTGCAATTTTACTTATTTTAAGATGCTCTTTCTAGCTGTGGTGTTGGATTTCGTTCATGTTTAGATCACAATTTCCGGTAATCAATTCTCATCGACTCTCGCGCAACTCTGGGTCATCAGAGTTGAGAAAACTCTCATGCAAAAAATCTCTCGCTTCTCAACTCTCGTTATAACTCACTCATCCTGGTTTGGCTTTTAATCAAGGGGTTTAAATGTATGTTTCCATCGTTACATTTCTTAAAAATGTTTAAAATTATTTCCACAGAATACCCAGACGAGAGCACGTGCCGAACATTGACCCTTATAGCCAAAGTGATACAAAATCTGGCCAATGGACTGAGGTAAATACCATGGAGTTTTCGTATTTCAATGACCAATTCTTGCTGTGCAATTCATGTCATCGCCGCCATGATGGATGATTTGCACAAAGTATTTCAACTTTCAGGGAGGTAATTCGGGTTCTTGGTTGTTTTCAGGTTTGATCAATCGAAAGAAGGCTATTTAGAATTTATGAATTATTTTATCGACGACGAAAAACGGAACATGCGAGAATTTTTAAAGAATATCTCGGTATTTATAATTTAATATTGTGTTGTATTTGATATTCTCCATTTCTTTAAACTTGATAGCTCAATCAGTTGCAAGCTGTCCTTCATAGAGGTTCAGTAAGGGCAATCCCTTTATGGTTCGAAGCACATGAGGAACACGAATAAGCAAATAAACAAACGACGACCTCGCTACTTTTTATTAATACTCCCATTTATTCTAGACTAAAGATGAGGTTAATGAACCGGACTACAATGGCTGTGTTGATCTTGGGAAAGAACTGTCCGCCATGCAAAGTGCTCTCAATGAACAAATCGATAAATTGGACAAGGTAATTTACGCTTATATATACATGTTCATAATGGATTGCTTTCAATAAAAGGCGGTATGACCTAAAGTCATATATAAAAATATATAAATACAGTATTTTTACACATGCGGAAAAAGACTACAAATAACTTTGTCTTTTGTTTTTGTTGTGTAGTCAATCACCTGCATGTATTCTAAAAGCTCACTCACCGTCACACTCAAAAAGTGGAGGTTCAATTTGAGCTTCCCTTGAGTGTCAATGCTGTTTTTGAATAGCTGGAGGGTGAGTAGTCACATAGTAAGGTATGATACTAACCGTCCAGCTATTCGAAAACAGCATTAACACTGAAGGGAAGTTCAGATTGAACCTCCACTCTTCGAGTGTGAGTGAACTTTTAGAATACTGGAGATATGAATCACTATATGGAAGTGATTCTAACCCCTGTATTCTCACTCACTCAAAGCTCACTCACACTCAAAGAGTGAAGGTTCAATCTGAGCTTCCCGTGATTGTCAGTGCTGTTTTTGAATAGCTGGAGGGTTAGTGTCGTACCTTACTATGTGACTACTCACCCTCCAGCTATGCAAAAACAGCATTGACACTCAAGGGAAGCTCAGATTGGACCTCCACTCATTGAGTGTGAGTGAGCTTTTAGAATACAGGCGTATATGTTTTTTGGAGCACCCGATTGGTATCTAATTACTGGGCAGCAAGTGGTGGAGACAACAGAAATGTTCACACTGTTTTCTAAGCACAAGAAAATTTAGCCCATCTCTCGGTTATTGTCTTAATTCTAATAACTACCACATGACCACAATCTGCTGCACGATAGTGTCCTAGTGAAACGTATTTATGAAATATTAATTTCGTTTCGTATTCTCAACTTTCAGGAAGCCTTGAGTCAACTAAGTCCGCTACAATTCGTCTTGGAAACATTAAACGATGCCTGTCAAAATCCTGACGCTGTTGGCGTTTTTAATCCAAACTCACTCATTTTATCCAAGCATACATTATCAGCAAACCTATACAAGAAACTCGCCACAAAAACACCCACTGATCCTAAATTGGATCACTCAAAGAAAGCTTCGGCTTTACGGACAAAACCGGAGTTCCACGATGCCGAACTTTCGGACGGTCGCGAAGATGCGACGCGGAATATAATTATAAAAGAGACTAAGAAAAGGAACCAACGTTATTATGATATGCGGTCGGGAAGCGGCCTGAGCCGAGACTCGTCCGAGTATAGTTCCGAAAGCCCCCGAAGTAGGCACGGGCAATCGACAAACTCGAATACTCCCCATTCAGCAAAAAGGAAAACTTATGCGCGGAAACCGGATGTACGGAAAACGGATGTGCGGAAAACGGATACGCGGAATCGACCAAGAACGGACATTGAAGTACGATCGCCTCTTCCGACTTCAAACCGGGAATTTCCAACTAGTGATTTAGGGGAGGAGGACTTTCTGTCATCAGGGGAAGGCAATGCTGGGTTGATACCACCCCTGCAAAAGCTCACGGTACGGTATGTCGACCCCACAAGTTCGGCAAAATCGTCCGGAAGTAGCGGCGGTTCTAAATGGACTGGGAGCGACTATGGGTCGCTGCCAAGGAATTTTGAGAGACTACAGGAAGATAATGAAATTGAAAGGGACTATGTGGAAACTAACACGCATGAGCAGAAACTTGTTGAGGAATCACGTAGGACTCCTGTTTCGGAGCCGGAAGATAGCGTGTTCGCGAGACCACGTGACTATAGGAATAAGCACCATCATAGTCGATCATTAGAGGATATTATATCAGTGCACTCTGACCCTGAGTCAACGCGGGCTCCAGCACGGCCGCGACCGCGATCCTTTGTTTCCCGTGATGCGGAAACCGTGATTGGATATGAGAGCAAATCGCTCAACGTTGAAAAGGATTGGAACCCAGCACGCAATGCGCCAGGTTCACCTTTACTGCGCAGAATTGATAAGTTTAAAAGACAGTCTGTATCTAGTAGCTCTAGTGGCGGGAGTTTGGGCGCAAAGACAAATTCAAGAGAGATGTTGGAGAGAGATGGACGTAGTTATGGTCATCATCAGAGGTTTGTCAAGAAACTAATCTAACTTTATGCAAAACTTTTTAAACTTTTTTTTCTAAATAGTAAGGATCATCTCTTATTGATCCAGTGTTACTACAGGAGGAAACCTACACTAAACTAACTTTATTTATACTGGATAGCTCTATCAGTTCTAAACTGTTCTTCCTATAGGTCCAGTAAGGATCATCTCTTATTGATCCAGTGTTACTACAGGAGGAAACCTACACTAAACTAACTTTATTTATACTGGATAGCTCTATCAGTTCTAAACTGTTCTTCCTATAGGTCCAGTAAGGATCATCTCTTATTGATCCAGTGTTACTACAGGAGGAAACCTACACTAAACTAACTTTATTTATACTGGATAGCTCTATCAGTTCTAAACTGTTCTTCCTATCGGTCCAGTAAGGATCATCTCTTATTGATCCAGCCTTACTACAGGAGGAAGCCTGAACTAACTTTATTTATACTGCATATAGCTCTATATCAGTCCTAAACTTCTCACATGTGGCTGAGGTGAAATTATAACCAGGCAGTTGCATATTTTAGGAATCAAACACCGGTCACAGAGGTGAGCGGCACATCCCATCAATCTATTTTGCTCTGGTTAAAGCCAGAGAATGTTCTGTTTCGATAAAAGGTTAAACGTTTCTTTTTCTGTTTCCAGCAAAGAGCAGACGACACTTCAAGCAAACACACTCACGGATAACGATGATCATGTGTTCAGCAAATCAACACAGGTAAACACGATGTTATGTTCACGTTGCTTGTTCCACAGTAATGTTTACAATATGAGCGGCCGTGTTGTATCAGATATACAAACTTGAGCCGAATGCGAGAGTTTGTATATCTGATACAACACGGACGCGAATGTTGTAAACAACTTAAAAAACGGCTCATCTTATGAGTTCATTGGCGAAGTAATTTTAAAAATAAACGTTGTTTAAGCCGAGAAAATCAAAGTTAAAGTTTATGTAAATCAACATGAATCTGTATCACATATACAGATACGACACGCTTATGATTTTTCTTTGTGTTTTCTTCATGAATTATTAATGAGTTTTTTAAGCATTCATTCAAACCAATAATAAGGGTTCGTACGGGTTTTGGACAGTTTTGGAAATTGATTATAGGTGTTTTACAGGAGCTGGAAAGTTTTGGAAAATCTATTGTCATTGTTTAGGGCTATGGAAAGTCATGGAATTTTGTGCATAAATAAAAGCCATAAAACAAATCTATAAAAATGTTTTATTATAGTATATAGTTTTTATGTTTCTATGTATTTACGTTTTATGTCGAGCACTTGTGCTCGTTGTAATATTTAAATGTCCGCTCGGATCCTTACGCGCGGAAATCAAAAGTATATTTTCTGTTACTTAGCATTACTTTACCTATCACGTTACTAAGTTTTTTAAGAAGTTGGTTTTGGACATTTTGATGTAAGGGCTATGGAAGGTTTTGGAAAGGTTAATTTAGAAAGTCAAACGGACGAAGTTGTACGAACCCTGAATAATCGTTTTGGCGTATACCTCTTCAAACTTAAAATTTTACAATTTTTATGTAAACTTTTTTGCAGCCTACCCCGGCAGACGTGTCTGATCTGAGACGAGAACTCGAGGATACCAAACTACGGTTGTCGGAGAAACAACGGGAACTCAATGAAGAACGCGCCACGATGAGAAGACGACAAGTTGAAATTGAAGAAAAGTTACGAAGGGAACAAGATTTAAAGGATAAAGAACTGAGAGCCGTCTATGAACAACTCAGCAACGCCGAACAGCAACTACGGGACCAACAGACCGACATACAAGGAACATTAAAAGCGAAGAATGTTATTATACAAGCACAAGAACAACGAATTAAGTCACTCAATACGGATTATAATAAGTTACTAGAGGCTCTTAATCAACTGCAAAAAACGCCATCAGTGAAAAATATGAATATTCGGATAACAGATAATCTATAGCCGAGGTGCAGTAATGGATATGGGTGGTTTATTACGGATATCGAATGATAACATGGGATAACAGGATCGAAAAGACGAGGGATTTGTTGGGTTTGTAAGGTACAGCAAAGGATATATGGTAGGTTATCTTGGATGACAAACGATAACATAGGATTACAGGATCAAAAATGTGAGGATCTTTGTTGGGTTTGTAAGGTACAGCGAAGGATATTGGCTCACATTGTTCGTTGAGTTTGATTCATATTTATTGATACTGAGTTTTGGGGGAATGTCGTTATTTGAGGAATTTTAATTGAGTTGGTAATCAAGGTCTGTAAGGCAAAAGCTGAAAAGAGGTTGATGCAGTTAAATTGAAATTTTAAAACTCTAATGCAATTTATTTTACACTTTTTCGATATCTGTCAACGTTTTTGCGGTATTTTGATTTGCTTGAATACACTGAATCTGTAATTTTAAAATCCTGACAAACGATTGAACTTAGTCATTCAAAAATTAATGATATTTCCGTAGTTAATAGCCTGCGAACAGGCTCTTTGAATTGAATTAGATTTCAAAGAGAGTTCAAAGAGAGCCTGTTCGCAGGCTACGTAGTTAAAAAAATTTCAGATCAAATTTTCCAAAACAAATTTCAATCAAATCGTCATATGTGTAAATGATATTGTGATATTGTGATAGCAAAAACGAAGACAGATATTAAAGTGTAAAACGGTTTTAAAAGTTCATTCTAACCAGAAAAGGCACAGACAATATATAGTGTTCAAATTTCGTTCTTTATCGTATATTTTGCCATACAAATATCTATATATCTAACACGTTCAAGGCATTTCATATTGCTTTTAGATAAATTATGACAAAGGATATATTTTTAACGTACAAAATATAGCTAGGTTTTTGTACATAGAAAAAGAAATTTATAAAGGCAAAATATATTTTACTAAAAGTTCAAGTGTGTGGTTTTTAAAAGATTATTGGGCCGTAATATAAACCGTGTCATTTTTAATTAACAAATTGTCTCCTCGTTTAGCGTTTCAAGACTATATGGTCCTACGCTTTTTATTGTCGTATCTAAATTAGTATCCCTCGGCCTTTCGCCTTTGTGCGGGTATCTCAACCTCGTCACCTCTTGTCGCAATTGCATATTGACTCGTTCCAGTCTTAAAATTCGCTCCTCTTGCCACGCGATCGTTTTATCTTTGACATCTATTGTTTCGTTTATGTCTTGTTTTTCTCGCCTGAGTTCGCCTTCCAGTAACAGCATTTTCGACACAATTGCAGCCAAGCTCGCGTCTGTGTGTTCTTGTTGTTTTTTGTACTTATTGTCTTTGAGTTGTAGAGCGCCAGACAGCTTGTTTGTTTTTGTCTTTTCTGCTTTAAGCTCGAGCTTGGCTCGCCGCAGCTCGGCTTGTATGCGACGAACGTTCGCTCGGTAATGCCCGGCTAACGGTTCCTCCTAAATGAATAAAATCGATATTATGTCCGCTTTTTTTTTTCAATTTAACGAGAGTCGAAACATAGCAAGAATATACGAGCGATGTAGTGTATTTTATTATATATACAACGCGCGAAATTCATTCTCTAATATGCCGTAAATTGTGTAGGAAACTTACCTCATCAAACAAGATTTCTTTGACAAATTCGCAGACCCCATTTGCCAATTCATAGAGTGTGCGTCGCAGGGTATGAAATACTTTGAACATGCGAATTCTGTTTTGAACGAAGGGTTTGCGTGATTGATGATTCACAACACGGCGCTTTGGATGCGCATCAAATATTTAAATCTTGTTTGATCAATTTTAATAAGATGCTCTCAATGGGACGAACTTACTACTACAAATTTCCATATTTTTTTACTGATAACCGGCAAACGATGGAACAGCCTTTTGGAAATAAAATCTTACAAAATATCTTATTGAAAGCTGACAATTGGCCTGTAATTTAGCTACAAATGTCATGCGAATACCTCAGTCACCGGCCCCCCTTTGTGCTAACACTCTCATTATTAAAATAATGATGAATATTTTTAAAATATATTCTCGCCTTTTCTGAAGTTTTCTTGCAATATTAACGGCTCTATTGAGACGCTGTGATTCGTATCTGAACAACCTGAAAATTATTAAAAACATTTTGAGCAAGGCTTCCCCCGTCTTAATGTCTTTGTATTTTAAAAGCTGTTTTGGTAGTTCAGACACAAACCACATCAGCTTATTGTAGAATACTTCCGACGATCCCCCACGTTCGAGATATTAATTTAACAGCGTATCTTTAATATTCAATTCGAATGAAATACTGACGCACCTTTAATTTTGATGTCATTTATTCAATGTTTTATATCTTCAATAGTTTAAGATTCCAATTTTTAGATTCTGTACAACTGTAAAGGATATTTCTCGCCTGTTACAAGGAAAATTGCTTTTTATACAGTATATATACGAGAATGCGTTGTTGACGAAAAATTATGTTCAACAACAGTATGATTTTGCATTATTAATGTGTTGTGGTAGAAGCAACCTGTAGATTGTGGTTGCGTGCGGTATAATCCAATTTTTTTACCAGGGGCGTCGAAAGCAACGTGAGGGGGTGGGGGGGGTGCAGTCATTTTAAAAGGGCACTTCAACCTCGTTCCCAGGCTCTTTGCTCTTCCCAAGAGCAAAGAGCCTGGGAACGAGGTTGAGGGCACTTCTGAGCCTTATTTTTTGTGGGCAGCAATGTTCGTTAGGGTTTTGCTGCACGATACTTGATTACTTATAGTCAATATAGTCAGACAAATTTCGGTATTGATTGGAACAATTTTATTTGTTGCATTGTAAAACAACATTTCAATTATTTAGACAGGCTTTCTTTTTGATTATTTTTTCAAAAAGGTGGAAACCTGGACAGGGGCGAAACTTGAGGGGGGTGGGGGACACAACCCCCCCCCCAAAAAAAAAAGTACAAATCATCTGGATTGGCAGGGCAAATCATCTGGATTGGCAGGGCAATGAAAGATTTTAAATGATAGAATGTAGAGTTATTAAGTAGCTTCCAGAGGGAATTGAATAGAATTTATAGACCTGAATTTTACAGATATTGCTAAAAAATAAGGGTTTCATGCATGTTTAACAGGAATTTGTCCGAAAAAAAGTTTTGACCCTTAATTTAATTGGTTTATGTCCGGAAAAATTTTTTCGCCCTTTTTTTGGGAGAAATAGTGGCCAAAAAAAATTGTTTTGCTGCAGGGCATCATCGGCTTTCGCAGGGCAATTCTAGCAGACACCCCCCTAATTAAAAGGGGCTAGTTTCGCCCCTGAACCTGGAACGTTTTCGAGATGAATTTTAGATTCAAATTTGAGCTAAATTGCTTCAAAACAGTTCACAATTTCAATGTGAACAACGCATGACCTTCGAAGTGTAGTTTGTGTAAAAAAGGCAACCTGCTGCCCCCCGGACTGTTTGGACACCCCGGACAGCTTCCCCTGTTTCTGACTTCGCCAATTGCTTTGTAACTATCACGGTTAATTATTTGTTTTTATGATGTAATTTGTTATTGGGAAATTTCAGTTTTGGAGGCATATGGAATATGCATAAATCTAATGAAGACAGAATAGTTTAAAATAGCTTGGTGTTATTCCAGTTTTGTTGAGCTTCAATGATACTTGAAAGAAAATATTGCAGGCGTGAAAGTCTACTGGAATTGCATTCAGCAAAACAAGTTTTTTGTGTCAGGTTCACAGAGTCTATATGCTAATTCAAAGTCTCTGCATGCAGGCCATTCACTGTAATTTATTTCCGGTTATGATCAGTTCACTTCCGGCGTTGGGCACGCAAAGCTATCTGGGATATGTGGACATGTCTTCTTCAGATAATGGCAGAATGAGCGACACAAGGCTTTTGTTTGCTCAGACATTGTGGGCAAAATGAAGAAGAAAAAGTTCAAGTTCGACGTTTCTTTTGAACTGAGAGAACTATCAAATGTCTCTCTTGCCAGCGGCCTTTTATTTTCCAAGCTGAGGCTACTGGATGGCGGTAAATTTACCGAAACTTCGTGCAGGTATGAGCGAACAAGTTCACCAAATGACACAAGACTATTCTACATGCCTGTATAGTTAGGCTGTTGTTTAGTTTTCAAACTGCTTTGTCTCTACTTTAAGGGCGTTAAAACTAACCAAACTATCTTCCTTTAGGCTCGACGTTTCAAATAACCGTGTCAGATGGCATCAAACTTTTCAATTTGGTTGTAAAATGACCGCTAATTCGGGTACTGGATATTTAGATCCATGTTTATGTCGAATTTCAGTTCGCAAGGTTAGTATAAATCATATATACTTTAGATTTACATCCGAAATATTTTTTATAGATAAAACCTAGGCAGTTCCTTTTAGTTGTCGTCGAAATGCTAGGCGACAAAAGCCTTAAATTTACATCATAATGTGAAAACGCAGATAGAATATTCGACAATGAAACTTTTATATTTGAACTTTCATTGATATGAAATTCGATATCGAAACTTTCGCATGTAAGTCAAAATTGTAATTTTTGTTTTGTACGAAAACTTGTTCCTCTTATCTTGTAATAATATTGAACAAATTTGTCAATATTTTCATGTCAAAAGTTTAATTACTATAAATAGTTTATTGCAGTATAGTTTCATTGTGCGTAATGGCAGGGTGTCCAAATATTTTGATTTCTTCAAAAATCTAGTTCATGGGAAAAGCTGTCGGATCTAAAGCAGGAACAGCTTATTGACTATGTGACGTGGCGTATTGCACGAAAATATCGTACAAGGAACTATATTTTGATTTGAAATAATTTTCGGTCTAGACTTATTGGAAATATTGTAAACAGATAAAATTAAATCCTAAATTAGGCACGAAATTTTCATTTTCTTTTGTAAATAGTGGTCAAAAACTGCTGTGAGGGTTATTATATTTTTCGTGGCATATGTTAGGTATTCAAACCGGTTTTTTCAAGTTGCATTTCAAGAATTTTAGAAATATTTTCTTAGTACGCGACCTTTCACCTTTTGTGCTGAGAGATAAAGTACCTTGATAATGATTTGTGGTTTTATAGTATTTCTTTCGTATTTCAAAGAAAAGGCACTTGGTCTTACCTACAGCTGCTATTTTTATTATAATTATTTTTGTATACTTTGCAATTAGATTGCTTCAATGTTTTATAGCTGTTTGTGCTTCATGATATTAAAATGCATGACATTTTTACAAGAATAATTGTTGCAATTAGGAATGTAATATCTGTTAATACTTCTCGTGTTTTGTGAAGTAGTGCTAATATTTTGACATTTAGTTGGTTTTTGGCTAGAGTTTGTAGAAATATCGACCTTTGTTTTTAAGGTTATATGACTTATTTTTAAAGTTATATGACCTTTATTTTTAAAGTTATATAACCTTTATTCCTAAAGTACTTTACTAATAATTTTTCAAAAATTTCATTTCACTGAATTCATATTAACCATTGAGTGGCAGCACTCTCCTCGTGATGAGTAAAATTATCTCGCATTAGACAGAGTAAAATAATAAAATAGGGCACATCTTTGCGCATTGCCACTTAAAGGGTTAACCCAACTTTATTACTTTACTCTGTCCAACATCAGCCACATAACTCTTTTTAGCAGGTACCTCTTTTAGGCAGATACATTTGAAAGGTCCCAAATCTGTCCTTTTTAATACCTGTAGGTTTTTTTGCAAAGCTTTTTTGTCAAATTATTTTCAAACTAAATTCCTTGGGGCTTCTGATGCCTTCAGTAGCACAGTCATCAATTGCTTTTCTTATCTGAATTCGATTTGTATCTTGTTTTAATTGGAGTCAGTCAGTGATCACCCAAAGGTCATGGGATTTCTTTGGGAATTCGGGCTTTCTTTCACATTGAAAACCCTTGAAAGTTGGCAAGTAATTCAAGCAAAATAATCTCAGCTGTTTGTAGGTTTTATATTCAGCAAATTAGTATAATGCTTGTGATGTTACTCTGAGCGTATATCCACACCGGGCAAGCTTGAAAAATATGCCTGACCACGGACCATCAAGCTTGCCCGGTGTATATACACTCAGAGTAACATCACAAACATCATATTCACCTGAGTACATTACACCAGCACAGAAATTAGTATAGTTGTTTATCTATATAAAACCGGAAAATCTAGTTTATAACAGTGGATCATTATGGATCGGCATGATATACAGTATTTACACTGGCAAAGAGCCAGTCTCGAATTTTATTGTACTATTATTAAGTCGATCAACCCCTTTAATACCCAGCTATGCAAAAAATGTGTGGGCTAGTAACTTATTCTGTATGTCTGTATTGTAGTCGTAGCAACAGAAATAAGTTTGGAATTTATTGATGTGTTTCTCACAAAGCCCCCCTACTATTTTTGATAAAAAGGCAAATCACATGAAGATGACTTGGGCCAATTTCTTTCCCACCAATTTTTAGCCTTTTGTGTAAATATTTGAGATGCTGCTGGATTTAATAGGGCTTTAGGTGTAATTAAAACTTAATCTCGGCTTTTTCTGGCATTAAGATGGATCATGCCTAGCATGTGACTGTCCCATGACATTATCACAACTGCATGCTGGCTAGGTCATGTTTAAGACGTTTAATAATTGAACAGATAATGAGAAATATTTTGGCACAGATATGTTTTTTACGTTTGTTATACAAATACATGTAGGCAATTTTTCCCAAGATATATGTAGGAGGTTAACCGTGTGAGCTGCATGCAATATTTTTAAGGATATCAGTTTAATATTGTAATTGTGCTATGTCACATGTTCCAACTCTAGCAATTTCCATGTTTTTCCCAATCGATCTCTTGATTTGAACTTGAAACAACAATTTTTCAGAAAGATCTGCTTATTTGGAAAATTCATTCCACCTCACCTTTTACCAGCAATGAACAAATACCAGTAAACAAAATAGGTACCAATCGATTATATGCCCTTTTAGAAATAATCAGGACTATATTTAAAATTTGTAAAAAAATCCCAAGAATATTTAAAAGTAAACTATATGTGATGCCATACATATACTAGAGGGAAATTTGATTCTGGCCTGCTAAAGATTGGGGTCCCTAATAGTTTTTGTGATGTTAGTCTTAAATGGTGGATTTTAAAGGAACATTTTGTAAGGATGTGTGTGGGTGTCTGAGGGTCTCCATGGAAATACTTGATTGATTGTCTTTATGGGATCTCTATGCCTCTGGCAACTTCTAGAAAAAACTTTGCCTCTGTCTGGCAGTTCTCATGTAAAAAATCCAATTGGAATGATTTTTATCTCTGACATTCAATTGGATTCCATAGAAACTCTCATTGGAATTCCAGTTGGATATTTTTTGTAACAGCTAGCTGGTATTTCTGCCAAAAACTGTTAATCTGGAAGATACCAGATAACAAAGTAACTATAAGCTGTAGTTGATCTTCAAGCATTAATTAACAATTATTCGCCGAAGGCGAGGTGATTATCGGTGAATAAAAACCAAGACGAAGTCGAGGTTTTTATTCACGATAATCACCGAGCCTGAGGTGAATAATTGTTTTAGTATAATTTCATAGGTGATTATTTGAGGAAAAAATAAGAAAATACACATTTCTTCGTCATTTACTTGACAAAAAGGCTTTGGCCGCCATTTTGAAAATCGCTTAGGTGATTATCGCGTAATAATCACCTCAACGGCAACCAATCAGCGTGGAGAATTTTCAATAATCACCTATGTAATTATACTAATGCTGGATAGCCTATTCTAGGCAGCAAATTTGCTTTCATTTTATACAGTGTAACGGTAGTGAAAAATGTTTGAGGAATAAAAATTGCATGTAACCATTCGAAATTTGAACCCCTATTAGCATGAGGTCAGCATAGACTAGCGTTTAAGAATTTGCATTCCCTTACAGTTAATTTTTAACCCATTGAGTTATAATGCACGCTGATGTACTGTACTTTATTCTTTTTCCTCTTTGTAACACTGGATGACTGGTCAAGATTGGGTGAAGGGTTTTTGCCACTTAAATAAGATTGGAATACCCTGCTCGAAATAAGTTTTGATTGAATGAATGTTTATAACTTAACACTCGCCCAGGGCATGTAAAAATGATAACAATTCATGAGCAAGTTGCCACTTAGTCTTTCAAGCAAGAAATATTCAGAACGTATCTTCCTTGGTGGTAAATTGTCAAACTAAGTTACATTGTATTATCATTATAGGAAACAAAAGGAGGCAAATCTTATGAGAAGCTTGGTTTTGTTGAAGTGAACATGGCTGAGTTTGCAGGACCCAGCAAACAAACAAGAAAATATTTGTTGGAAGGACACGATGACAAAGCAAATAGACAGGATAACTCTATTTTAGAGGTATGATGGTCTTATTCTAATTGTATATATTTAAAAGTTTAAGGATATACTAAAGGTGGTTGATTAATTTGATTTTTAGGTCCGAATCTCCATGCAACTGAGGCAGGGTGATCCACTTTTTAAACTGTAAGTCTGATACACTTATTTTTGTATAGTATTAATTTTCATTCTTATTTTGGTATAGTATTAATTTTCATTGTTATTTTGGTACTATAGTATTAAATTTCATTGTTAGTTTGGTATAGTATTAATTTTCATAGCCATTTATTTATACCTAACTTGTACACCAATGATTGTTGCTGTGTACTTAGCTAGTAAAACTCAATAATAAATGTGTATTTAAGCCCATTTTCCACTTTGCGAATTTGTTCGCGCGTGGCGAAAAACAAGTCTTGGCAATGTGATTGGTTAGCGAAAAGATTCTCAGCAAAAAAGTTGGACCAGTTCCTACTTTTTTACTGTTTGTGCGAACAAATTTGCCAAGTTGAAAATGAGTGTCAGTCTTTAAAATAAAGTGCATAAAGTTTCTGAAATTCAAATGACTACAAGTTAGAACAAGGAGCACAATTGCATATTGCTACAAACACCACAATCGACTCCAACATTTTTTAGTCCCATCAGTTCAACCATCTTTCATTCCAAGTCGTGTCTTACATACCGACTAAATACCTTGTGCTTGGAAAGGTCATATCTTATCAGCAAAAAATAAGGACGCAGCGCAGATATGCGATAGCAACATTTTCGCATACCTATGTGATACAGTAATTGGTTTTGATATCCTCCTGCAGTAACATGTGCACTGAAGCAATAAGGGATAGTCTTTGCTGGATGTCTAGGATGAACAGTTTAGAACTGATAGAGCTGTCCAGTATAAATCAATTTAGTTTAGCTGAGGTTTCCTCCTGTAGTAACATTGGATCAATAAGAAATTATCCTTACTGGACCTCTAGGAAGAACAGTTTAGAACTGATAAAGCTATCCAGTATAAATAAATGGTAAAACAAGTCTTATTTAGTTATTTCTTTATTTAGCCCAAACTCACCCCAAGCACAAGTCTCTGTTGAGTCTCCAAACTGCAAAGGTGAATCCTCCAAAGGTAAGAAGGATGATCGTGGTCTTGATGAAACTAGTGCAGGCACTGTTACAGTAGGGACCATCACCCCAGACACGCCTACCAGTCCAATGTCTGCATCCCCTGATGGTGAAGAGGACACTGTAGCCAAGCTGGCCTTGGCCGAGGGATCGTCAGGCCTTGTGGGCAAGGTTCTGGGTCATCATCGGAGTGCAAGTGAACCTCCATTTTTAAGAGATGGTCATCAAAGTGGTCAACTGTCTGAAGGATATGGCAGCATGACTACACAGTCAACATCATCTTGTAGTGATGCAGGAAGAAGGTAATTGAACACTAATTAATTCTAATTAGGTGGCAAGCAGTCCCTCGGGAGAAAGGAGGGACCGCCGACAACACATGAAGAAACGAAATATGCGTTGCCCACACAACGCAAAATTCCCATTGGTCGAAATTGATGTGTCTGTCAATCAAATCTGATATGTAGTAATTATGTTATAAATAATTTCCAGATTGAATGTTGATTTTATAAATAAATATGACATTAACGGTTCCTATTGGGTAGCTAGGTTTAATTGGATATAAGTAATGTTTATGCAAAGCGGAGCCAACTTGACAAGAATGAAAAGTGGGTGTATTTCGTTTCTTGATGTTTTGTCGGCAGTCCCTTGGAAAAGAGGGATCGCTCGCTGTCTAATTCTAATTAGAATCAAGCATTTAGGCAGGTAGCTGTCCAACCATCTTATGGATTGCACTTAGCCAGACATTTTCCAATAGACAGCCATGATATGATTTTGTGGATGCCAGTTTTGACATTCTTGATAAAAGCATGATTAGGATGGTTGTCTTAATGTTTTCCTTTGTTCTAATGTGAATTGTATGTACAGCAGAGCACACCCTTACCAGAACATCCTGGATATCCATCCCTGGTATATTTATCTTTGATCTTGTCATTGATGTAGGTTCAACTCTATTGAAAGAACTGCCAGTAAAGTAACTCGCAGCAGAGTGGATGCTTGCAATATAGTGGAACAAATCATCAACAGCCAAGAATCCGAAGAACCTCAAGGACACACGGCAGGTTTGTCTCTGCTCAAAAACCATTGAATTAAAGACCCATTTCCACTCTGGAAAATTTTCCACAGAAAGAAAATTTTGTAAAATGTGATTGGCCAACATAAATTTTCCGTTGGAAAAATATTTTGAAGTTGAAAATTTGCAACTTTTAACAATGATATTTTCGGAAAATTTTCTCTCTGTGGAAATGGGGCCTTGAGTCGATTTAGAGAAGAACACAAATGAAACAGTTCTATTATATTCTTTTTAGCAGATACAAATCGCAATGAAAGTACTCTGATATCGTTCTTGATGGACAAGAATAGCAATGCTAACGTTCTTCCCAGTGATTGTGGGTATGTTGTAGTTACTTCTCGTATAAGGTGCTGGGGGTACAGGGGTCAATACATATGCCTGTCGCCTCAGACTGCGGTTCGATTACTGTAATACACGGTTGTCCGATTATGATATTGGGAAAAGTACTTCCAGTTTGATTCCACCAAACACTGTAGGTTTCCTATGGTAGTGGAAGTGAAATCTGAACCTCTAATAATTATCAGCAGCCCCGTGCCCACAGCTATCTCAGATCATTCTCCTGAAGCAAAACTTCCTACGTTATCTAAGGAGAAAAGTTAGGACCTGATAAAGGGAGCTTTGTTTAGCTTAGTTTCATATCTTAACTAATTTTGCTAAGGATAAAAAGAAAGCTTTGTAGAACAGCAAATCTACCGTGTTTTATTTGAAATGCCTCCATATTTTTCATTTAATAGACTGGTTGTGGACGATAAGTACAGAACTCTCTGAGTTGAAGAAGATCTTCAAGAGTTATCAAAGGTGAAAAGTGTACATAGATAGCTAGTAATGTGTGTATCCATTGCGGTTGCAAAAAGCCTGAAGATTGCATTTAGGTTTTAGACTTGCTCTCTCATTGGCTCTTTGCATAGTAATTAACCAATCAGGTAGCAATACTTTTAGTGCTTGGTCTCTCATTGGTTCTCCAGAGAGCAAGAGAACTGAAATTATAGGCTTGCTTTCTCATTGGTTCTTTGAAAACCAGTAACCAATCAGATAGCAATTCTTTTGATGTGATTTTATGCCAAGATGTTTCGCCGTGTCTTTTGTCAAAATAGTTCTTTGTTGATTTAAAACGAGGCCATACAAATTTGGCCGATTGTAGTTTATACGAATATTGAACTTTGGGAAAAGTTGTAGAATAAGGTATAGATATGTTTATTATCTATACCTTTTTATCGCTTTTATAGCAAAGTGGATATAGAATTGTTTAGTCAAATGATTTTGCACTACTTGCGTGTTTTTGAAATTTTAAAACTTTTGATTCATTCATGATTTATTCTACTTCCTTCGTAATTTGCAAATCACTTCAATAACGATATTTAACTTATAAAGTTTGTTCGTTCACTGCAACCAGGTATATCAATCATGTTTCGCTCACTACTCTGGTTTAAATAAATAATTACAAAGCCCAGTCGAATTGTAATCAAGACCCAACGTTTCGACACTCCAGTCTAGTGTCTTCATCAGGGGTGATCTAAAACTGCGATCGTGGTTTCTTAAATACCCAAGGGATGACGTCACCTGCCAAGAAGATGCATATATTTCTCTGGCAAATAGGCGCCGTCATCCCTATTCAAAGCATGATGACTCATATTTATATGCCACGCTTCTAGGCAAAGTCTTTGACCATAGCGATTGTTTGTGGTAATTACTTTAGAGTTTTCCCACGCAATCTCGTGTACGTTTGGTGTAACATACATGTTCGGCTGAAGCTGATTTTCCCTTGTCTAAAGTTGACGGTTGTTTCAACTTTAGACAAGGGAAAATCAGCTTTAGCCGAACATGTATGTTACACCAAACACGAGATTGCGTGGGAAAAGTCTAAAGTAATTACCACAAACAATCGCTATGGTCAAAGACTTTGCCTAGAAGCGTGGCATATAAATATGAGTCGTCATGCTTTGAATAGGGATGACGGCGCCTATTTGCCAGAGGAATATATGCATCTTCTTGGCAGGTGACGTCATCCCTTGGGTATTTAAGAAACCACGATCGCAGTTTTAGGTCACCCCTGATGAAGACACTAGACTGGAGTGTCGAAACGTTGGGTCTTGATTACAATTCGACTGGGCTTTGTAATCATTTATTTAAACCAGAGTAGCGAGCGAAACATGATATTTAACTTTATAGTCCCATTGCACTGACGTCACAAATCCTTAGAGTGTCCTCCAGATGCTCCCTAACAATCTGTTCGGGTACAACAACCAGATACAGCGCAAAAATTAACCATTTTAATACAAAATAATTATAGAGTTTGCTTTGTTTACAACAGTTATATTATGCATAGATTGCTAATTTGTCTTCCAGATGCATCGTCACTAGTGCTGTGACGTCATGTGCAGTGAGTCTATATAAGAATGCCGTACTACTACCACTAAGAACAAACGAAAATGCAGAATACGCAGTAACTATAAACCAGGCAAACATTACACTTAATATTTCTACAAACCATGTTCTGCAACCACCAATAGAGGCAAATTACAAACGACCTACCGTATTCTCTGATTTTGTGATTTACATCATCGCGTAATATAATTTACTGCGGAAGCCATATTTCAACAGTATGTTCGATATGCAAATTAGTCAGGAAATAGAATAATCGTGTCCATTATAATTTTTTGCATATTTAATATTGCCGCATAAATATAGGATTGATTTGGGATGTGTGGTAGAAAAAACGAAGTTAGTCTTAAATGCATATAAGTAAATCTAATGTAAAGCTTTCGTAAAATAAGTAAAAATATTTATTGCTCACAGGACAGGCATTAATGTCCTGAGTAAAGCGTTCATATTTAGTGATTAGTTTTAAAGCAAAAGTGATATAATTGATACATAATTCTTATTAATTATTTTGAGGATATTTTATAAGCATAGATTTGTATCGTGAAGTATCGCATGCTTTCACACAGTAATTGTACACGAGCCGTGGTGGTTTTGTCGCGCTGATCAAATCGCGCAAAAACCAAAAATTCACGAAAATAAAACGTTCAGAAATGAAACAAAACTGTTACAAGCTTGTTGACAAGTTGTGACATTTTTACGAGTGGGATTTGCGCGTTCGTGATGTGTTTGGTTATTTGCGTGCTCATTCAGCGTTGACACGAACCATGAACTTTCGATGCTGACCAGCCTGTGAACACGTGATAGTCAGCCGGTCTGACGTGTCATCGTGACGTCATGTCTTGATACGCCGTGCGTGTCAAGAAGGCAAGGCGTGGTCAGTTGGTCGAATGCAAAGATACTGTAGTGATATGTATATGTGATGTGTGACCACCATTGTACTAAATGGGATTAATAAATCTGTAATTGATATTATATACGTTGTGTGAAATAACTTCATTCGTATGTCCAGGAGATTCTGGGGATGGTATGGCAGCTGTTCCCGCGGCAACCTCGTTGCTAGGCTTGGAAAAACCTGGGAAAGAGGTTGTTCCAGCGGGGGAAATCCGGCGTACTTTGTAGCCACAAACCTTGGCTATATGGTATGCCGAAAACAGGCATGGTTTATAGCCACAAATTGTGGCTATATGGTATGCCGAAAACAGGCATATAGCCACAAACTGTGGCTATATGGTATGCCAAAAACAGGCATGGTTTATAGCCACAAACCGTGGCTATATTGTATGCCGAAAACAGGCATGGTTTATAGCCACAAATTGTGGCTATATGGTATGCCGAAAACAGGCATATAGCCACAAACCGTGGCTATAAGGTATGCCAAAAACAGGCATGGTTTATAGCCACAAACCGTGGCTATATGGTATGCCGAAAACAGGTATGGTTTATAGCCACAAACTGTGGCTATAAGGTATGCCGAAAACAGGCATGCTTTATAGCCACAAACCCTGGCTATATGGTGTGCTGAAAACAGGCGTACTTCATAGCCACAAACTGTGGCTATAAGGTAAGTCGAAAAGAGACGTACTTTATAGCCACAAACCCTGGCTATATGGTGTGCCGAAAACAGGTGTGCTTTGTAGCCACAAACCGTGGCTGTATGGTATACCGAGAACAGACATGCTTTGTAGCCACAAACCCTGGCTATATGGTGTGCTGAAAACACACAGCCATAAACTGTGGCTATAAGGTAAGTCGAAAAGAGACGTACTTTATAGCCACAAACCCTGGCTATATGGTGTGCCGAAAACAGGCGTACTTTATAACCATAAACTGTGGCTATATGGTGTGCCGAAAACAGGTGTACTGTATAGCCACAAACCGTGGCTATATGGTGTACCGAGAACAGGCATGCTTTGTAGCCACAAACTGTGGCCATATGGTATGTCGAAAAGAGACGTACTTTATAACCACAAACCCTGGCTATAAAGTCTGCCGAAAACAGGCGTACTTTACAGCCACAAGCCGCGAAGAAAAAGCGAGATGGATGCTCAGTATAATTTAAGCTGCATAAAAGCGTGCAGTGATCGGATGAACATCGCCGTCCCTTCGTGTAACGTCGTCGCCTCATTTAGGTTAATTGGCCAATTATCATACGAAACAGTCGCAGAGTTTCCGTTCGCTAATTAGCGACGGACGCTGCTTTTTTCTCACAGCGACATTTTGTGAGAAAATGATCGAATTTTCAACTATGGATATCTTTCTACAATGAATTTCATTACCAACATCGCCAGCAGTATCGCTGGCAACGTATGGAACCTCCTGACTGGCAGTAAGTTGACTTTTGAATGTCGTTCGCTCGGAGATCGGATGACTTTGGAACACTACTTCAATTTGCGAGATTTGGATTTGCGGTCACACTAGTGACGCATGAAAATGAACTGATAGCTAAGCCGAAAATTTTCTCATGTGAAAAAATGGAACGGGACTAATTTGCGCGCGGTTCCGACATCGTCCGATTCTCCTGTGAACATTGCCTTTGTTTTATATATCTTATATAATTTGATTTCAAATTTGTTTAAAGTAATTGACACGACTTTCCGAACGGTTGCGCAAAATTAATTTCATGAAATAAGTTGCTAAATGTAATATGTTTTCGGGACGCGCTTTTGTACATAATGTAGAAGTGTAGTTGTTTTTATTTGTTTATATTTGTTGCGTTGTTTACTAGTTGAAGACTTGGTTTGCCTAATTGTTAGTTAGTTTTTTGCTAGTAATATTTTGCTTGCTAGTTAGTTGCAGAATTAAATTGGAATTGAAAAATAAATAAATACAGTGCGAAATAAATGCAGAGCGAAAAAGAAGCGCGCGTTGCTTAGTTACAGCGTAACCAGTCAAGTTCGAACAAATCTGATTGACCAATCACAAATAAGGAATAAATATGCTAGACTAATGAAATGTTTTGGAACAATTGAGTAAACCAATCACATTGCACGAAGCTTTGATGCAGATATGTTTGTTTGCGTCATCATCGACGTAACACGTGAACATTTTATTAGCCAATCGGATTTCGTGGAACAAAATGAGCCAACCAATCAGATTACACTTGTTTGTTTGCGTCATTTTGGAATTGGTGGTGACGTAGTACAAACTAAAATTTGATTGGCCAATCAGATTCCGTGGAACAAAATGACCAACCAATCAAATATTTTGGAACAAAATCTAAAAGTCAACGTGTTTGTTTGCGTCATCATGTAATTGATGATGGCGTGACACAAGGCCAAGCTCGTTTGGCCAATCAGATTTCGTGGAACAAAATGACCCAGCCAATCAAAAACTCGGATTGCATGGAACAAACTGATCCGGCCAATCAGATCGTTGTGGAACAAAATCCATAAATACCATTGCTTTTGAATTTGAAAACTGCTTTATCAAGAAACTTGGAATGCGAGCCGCAGGTTTTTTAGTAATCTTTTTTAAACTTTTGAATGGGTAAAAACGATTTTAGTTATTCGGGGCTTTATTAGTTAGTGAACGCAGTTACTAGAGTAATTGTTACGTTTGTATTGGTGTAAGTTCGCAAAGGTGAGTGATGGTCGGCAATTGTCGCGCGAATTCACCTTTTTTTTGGATATTGGAATGGAAAACTGGACGACATTTAAAGATCGACAACACTTGCAGCTGAACAACACTTGGAGTTTTGAAGAACGGAGAAATTCATCTCAAATAAATGTTTTTAATTCTTGCGTGTGTTTAATTCATTTGTGTATTGGGGGGTGGGGCAAGAAGACGGCTGGTCGAGCAACCAGTCATGAAGAAGCAAAAGAAGAAAACGAAGAAACCGAATACAAGTTACAGGATGGTGGTATTTTTTAATTCTATAGCAAAGTTTTATTCAGACCGACATGTTTTATGATCGTCAATCTTCTATTTTTTCAAATCATAAGTACTTACTGCATAGTGTTATCGTGTTGTTTTTGGTTAAATATCGGTAATGTTTGTGTTATGAATGAAGTATAACTGGATGCATTGAAATCAAGCAAAGGTAAATGATTGTTTTATTTTTGCAAAACACCGCGCGTTTTTTATTTGGAACAGGAAAGAAGGTATATATACTAAGCATATTGTTTGTTCTTATGTGCAAGTCTAATGGGAACTGAGTTTAAAAACAATTATATTTATTGCCATGCAAACCTACAGTACGGAACTTATAAAGGTAAATACATAAGTGAATAAAAAAAAAATTAAAAGCGCTTTGCCTGCGCCACAGAAGCAGATTTCGTTTGGCCATTTGTATGATGACGTAGTTTTTAAATTTTAAACAGTGATGCGCGTGAGACTAAGTCGAGTGAAACGCGCGCGTGCTTAACACGTGCTGTGCATGCGTGAAATTAAGTTGCGTCACAACCTCGTTCCCAGTGTTTCTTATGTCCACGCTGTTATTTAAACTGTGATGCGCGTGAGACTATATAAGTCGAGCGAAACGCCCACGTGCTGTGCATGCGTAAAATTAAGTTGCGTCATCACCTCGTTCCCAGGGCTTATGGTCGCGCAGTCAGCTGAGAAATGGCCGAGAAAGCCTGGGAACAAGGTTGGTTGCACCGGCTAGTGCCCAGGAATTTCTCACGAAAAAGGTGCGCGTTGTACGCGCAATGCATGATTGTTAAACAAAGACGAATTTCAATCCTACTCAAATTTAATTGAACTATATTGCATGCCTTTCAGAGGACGCATGAAACTAGGCGCAAATTCGAGTGGCAGCTAACTATTTCGGCATGAACAAATGGAATCGGATAAATTTGCGCGCGATTTCGCCAATACGTCAAGCGTCGTGTCATTAACTTAGTTTGCGCTGAACCCTGTTAAAAATATAGTAGACCAAAGATTAGGACAGGTATTCTTTGTATGAGTCCTATAAATCTCGTAGATTGAAATTTTCAAAAAGAAATATATTTAAATATTCTTGAAAAAACTAAACCGAAAAATAACAGCATTTGTTTTAATTGTCAGTTCGCAATGTTGCTAGGTAACAACGTAAACAATTAGTTGACGTTTATTCTGTGACGTATGGTATGATAAACAACCAATCACATAATTTCGAACAAAACAGATGTAATTGTTTTTGTTTGTGGAAATACCACGTAAATTTATTACTGCAATATTTATTATTGTAAATTTATTTACGTGGTGTTTCCACAAACAAAAACAATTATATTTTATCGCCATGCAAACATTCAAAGAACTTAAAACAGATGTACAGTCAGAATGAACACCTCAAAAATTATTCGAAATGAGCTGGCTTTCAGTCTGCAGGCTTCAGACTTTCAAAAATGATTTAAAACTTATACAAACACCGTTCGGAATATGAAATATCTTGCCATAGAAATAATGTACCTTGCTAGCTTGCATTTTAATTCGCGTGGTGAAAACTGTAATCTGCGCGAAACTATAATAGGTGTATAAATGTTAGTGCCACCGTTGATACCGAAAATAAATACTGATGTGTACTTAGAAATTATTCTTTTTGAAATTATGTATAAATCGGTTTTTGGCATTACTGATAAACTGGGTTCATTGTTACAGCGATATAAGGATTATCGAGTTCAGGTGATTTGAAAATGCAAGTGTGATTTTCTAGTTTTATTCTGTTTCAAAGTTCACCGAATATTGAACGCAAAATTATAATAAAGCGCGAATTTAAGACTGGGCAAAATGAGTATACCCTGGGTGCCAGAGCCTCTTGTGATAGAAGTGAGGACACGACGAGGAGGCTCTGGTCACACGAGCATCCAGCCTCGCTTTGGTGAGTTCAATATTTGAACTTTGTTTGTGATTGGTCAATATTTATGTGAGTCTTTTCAGTACCGCGCGAATTTAAAAACAAGTAAAAGTTGCTACAAAAGCTATTCAAATCTTTAATTCATTTAAATAATTCAAGTTTAAAAAACAAACTAATTAAACACAGCGGAACCATGTCAATGATGCCATGGTAATCATTAAAATCCAGAAAAATATTTAGCTGAGTTGGCAATTTTTGGCATTTATTTCTTCAGCGGTTTTCCTCATGGGAGCATGCTCCAAGCCACGTCGGCCACAAAAATGGATTCTAAAGAGTAGTATTTTGGCTATATGATTTCATTTTAACTTCGAAAGTATTCCAATTTTACATAAAATCCTCAAAACTACGGCCAAAATTTTCACAAATGGAATAGAAGTATTCCTTCGCTGAGTGGAAATTAATTTATGGGATTTATTTGGTAACACGTGTGGCTATTATTTTAAATTGAACGTCGCTCATTTATATAATATATATATCATTATCAATTATTGGAAAGTTGGGTTCCTTGCCAAATCACTGCATATGGTATGTTTTTTTATAGCATTGTATGTGTAATGTTGGTATTAGGTAGTTATAATGTTGTTTTGTTGTGTTTCGGGTTGTATGTCTTTGAATAATAACATGAAATACTTGGGTGACCAATATATGTTTAATATATGTATGTAGGTCGTTCAAATAGATACGTTTAAGAGTTTAAAGGGAAGTGATTCATCAATTTGTTTATGAATTGTTTATGTCGGGGTTGTAAATTACTAAATACATGTGTGTGTATTTTTTCAAATTCAATCTTTAATTCTGTTGCTGTCTGTAGTTAAGCTGTTCAACAGTTCTTCTAGTTTCCCCCAGACTGTAGAGTTTCAAGGAAATTCTATAAAATTTGTATTTTTGATAAATTAGTGCACTTATTTCGTATGTATTGAGGAGAAGCTTAATCCACAAGAATACAATTTAGTACTGTAGCCTGCTATCCAGGTGATCTTGATACGCGGAAAAGTACTGGCACTAGTTGTCAAATAGAAATCCATTTTATGATTAAAACAACTGAATATCTCCTGTAATATACCTTATTTCGATTCTATATTTTTGTCAGAGCTATAGTTCTCATAACCAAACATAATTACAAGATTTCAACTAGTTTCACAAAGAATAACGAAAGATATAATTGACTGAATACATCAAAATGGATTTCTATTCGGACAACCCTTTCTGAGTGCTGATTGGCTAAAATACGAACACGAGATCACCTGGATGCATAAACTGCAACCATTCATCCATTCTCAAATGTTCTAATTAATTGGAGTTCACAAATTTGGTTTTAAGTGGTTAGGGACCGGTCATAAAGTAATTACTAGAGGGGGGTGGAGGATAAATGAAATTTCAAGTACATATTTCCATACCCTCCCAAAACCCTATGGAAAAATTTTCGTAACCCCCTTCAATGTAAGTGAAAATTTTCATACCCCCTCCCCTTTTCTATCAATAATTATGTTTTAACATTTGTCTTGCGTTTATCTATACAGGGTGTATCAAAAAAAACTGAACAGATTTGAAATTGCTCTCAATTTTGCAAAACACCTATTTGTATCTGGTTTTTTATATATGGAGCTTTTTTGGGTATTTATAATGTAAAATAATGAAAAAAATTTCTCGAACTCAAATTCTGTGAACCAGGGGGGTGTGTCTTTCCCGACAAACTAAAAATGGCTCGCGCACAAAATTTAAAAGCTGTAATCATATTTTGAGTTAATAGATTGAACATTTGGCGGGCTTTTAATTACTGTACAAAATTTCAGACAATTTGGTTTAGTTTAAGCCCTTTAACTATTCATTTTGTTCTAAAAAGTCAGCCTTTCGCATGCTTAATTAATGCCTTTACCTAATTTGCATATTTCTGACATATGCAAATTAGGCAAATGCATTAATTAAGCATGCAA